ATTTCCCACCCCCACCAAAAACAATCAACTAAATATATTGAATATTCATAAGGAAATGACGCATTATTGACAGAAAACTGATGCATTATTGACGGCAGAATAACACATTATTGACCGCAGAAATGACACATTATTGATGCCACAAATGACGAATTTCTCACCCTCACAAAAAACAAACCAAACCCAATAAAATCAATCCAGCAACAATAAACTTACCTCTCAAACTCAAGCGGGAGCTCCGAAGTCAATCAGCTTAAGAGAATGTGGTGGACATTAGAGAAGACTCTTTGGTAGTGGAGACTCCATCTCTACCACAATCGAGGAACAAATGCTGCTGCGGCGTCTAGCTACAGAACCAGATATGCTACTTTGCTTTCATCTGGAATCTCGTGTGCTGAACGAAAAAGAGAAGGGGTTTTCACTTCAGCCATAGAATCAAAACAGGGCAATAGATAGATAAGAGCCATTAATCGTCATACCGAGGATGCCATAGATCGCAGGCCTCCCAAGGAGCTGATGACAATGGAGCGACTATAGGGTTTGGGAGCTTTGGATCTTTCTAATTCTGGGTTTGCGTTACATTCAAAAACAGAGGATTGTGTTCTTGAATTTTTCAGAGAGGGAAATATCTTCAACTGAAGTTGGGTTTCCAACGGGTCAGATTTCAACCCGGTTCTACATGCACCCTCTTTTAAAAACTCACCGTTGGATGAAATCCAACGGCTCTAACATACCCCTCAAAAAAACCCCTTATAACTTTCCCCTCACTATAGAAGCTCCTAATAAAATAGCCTATTCTAAAACAAAGCCCATTTTTTAAGCCCATTTCTCCCCGTCTCTCTCAAGCTCGACATCAGAAGCCTCCTCTCTGAAGCTCTTGCTCTCCAGTGGCTCTAAACTTCTCTCACGTCTTTCATCTTCTTCTTCACTCTCTCTGAATCGCACATTGCAAATCTCCAATCTCGAATCGCTTTCGCAACTCAAAGATCCTATATGATTTCTCAAAATCGGAATAGAAATTTCAGTGGTAATCTTCATCTCTCTCCCCCTCTCTCTCTTTCTGGCTTTCTTCTTCTCCTATTTCATCTGTGCTCTGTGTTTTTGGTTCTCGAGAACCCATGGAAAAATGTGAAAGAATTTCATCAACTCATATACTTTCGCAACCGTGATTTGCTCGACTATCGCCGACCCTTACCGAGACTGCTGGAGCCATCATCGATGTAAGTGCTGGTCTGATTCTATAAATTTACTCATTTTGTTGAAAACTAAATGATTATGAGCTCTGGAAATATGTGGAGGAAGTGAATAATTGAGTATTTAACCTAGAAACTAGCTACCTGAGTAATTAATTGGGGTCTAGATTGCTAATTTAGCTGAGTGTTTATCTATTTGATTACTGGAAAATTGCTGAGTGTTTGTTTTTTCTAAGGTCATACTCGTACAAGAACTTAGGGACATAGGGGATTTATCACAGAGAGAGATCAAATTCGATGACTGATGATCTTAATTTCAATTTAAGTTCAGGAACTATACAGAACTTATTGGACATCTACTTGTCATTATTTCATGTTTATCATGTATACTAATTGGATTACCACTTGTTAGTGGTAATTTCATTTTATGAAGATGCAATGAATTTAAATGAAGAGATTTCCTCATTTTCTGAGATCAAACTATGAACTACTTAATTTCTCTTTTGAATTTAGGAGTATGTTGTTGAGCTGAGGTATGCATGGGAAGGGAAAGCAGTGCACTCAAGTTAATATCCATATTGGATAGCTATTAGAAGCAGCAGTCATTTTAAAATTTTATTTGAAAACAGAGTGTGAGAAAACATATAAAGGTAAAGCTTTGTGTCCTTTTTCTGTGCCTCTAACTTGTGAAGGAATCTGAAATGTTACTTGCTGACAATGGGCTATAATTCATTAGCATTTTCTTTTATTGTTAGATTCAAAGATGCACCAGTAATTTATGGAGTTCATATTTTTTCTGATTTCAGTGAGAATACGAAGGATCTGCTGATTGTGGCTTCATTTATACATTTGGAGCATAAAGAACATGTGAAGTATACCTCAGAGTTGACTACTGTGAACCCTCACATTTTGCTCTCTGGTCCTGCACCTATGGATATAGCTGTGTTCATTCTAAAATAATTCGTTTATGATATTTGGTTTTTGTTCTGAATGCTTTTGCAGGGTCTGAGATATATCAGGAGATGCTGGCAAAGGCCCTTGCACAATATTTTGGGGCTAAGTTGCTCATATTTGATAGCCACTCTTTTTTTTTTTTTTGGTGTGGTTACATTGGAGGAAAGAAACCCCACTGGGGTTCGATCCTGGGTGCCATGGGGGGAGGGGGAATCCACCACCACTGTGGTGGGAACCCATTGTCATAGCCACTCATTTTTGGGTGTAAGCTAAATCTAATACAATTAAGCTCATCAAACAACAGACTAGACCCATGTGCATTTTAATTGCTTAAGTACTTCCTTCTAGTATACTTCCATATTCTTGGGATATAGAGACTAATCTAATCGTTCTCATTTTGTTTCACCAAAAATTATAATATTTTTTCTTTAGTATCATTATCAATATTCCTTTTGTACTTCTGTCTTTAATTATAGCTTACCAGAGCTAATTAGAGGGATTACCAATAACAAGTGTTCTATAGGGCTTACTGGGTATTTCATTTTTGGACTTTTGTTGCTGTTTTTTAATTATTATTGTTTTTTAAAATTTTCCAGGTTGTTCCCAAGACGGGAGATGACAAACGTTGTTTCCAACATGATCCTGCTAAGCCATATTTAGGACCTGATTTCAGGTATGAGTTTGCAGTGTTCTTGAAATTTCTTCGGGAATAGTGTTCGAAAAGGGGGTTTTAATGCATCCTGACTTATGATTTAGTTTCTGCTCTAAATTGGAAATTTATTGCCTTGTGTATTTTGGTTTAATTCTTATGGGGATCCTGTTTAGTGGGACTGAATTTTATTTCTTGGAATATCGTTTGTCTCCTTTCTTGGTATTTTTTTTTTGTGTATGCCCTCAAAATTAATGATGCATCTTTCCTTGTAGTTTAGTTTCTTATTTTCATTGGTTGGTACACGTAAATGCTCTAAATTGGTATTTTTGGCTTGTGTATCTTGGTCTAATTCTTATAGGTTGTAGAGGACTATGAACTTTTGGCTTCTTGTAAGGACATTTGTCTCTATTCTTGGTACTTTTTGTTTTCATGTTCTAAATGTGGATTTTCAGACTCTTTTTCTTTCTGTTTTTAATCATTACAAAACTCACTCCAAATTTGAATTTTTTGCTCGTTTTGCATTTTGATTTAATATTGTTTATACAGGATTATTCCTCTGCTGTTTGGAGGGATTGAATGTGGATTATTATAAGAACGCTTTCCTTTTCCCTTTTTACATTTTGTGTTCATATCTAAAAAATGAGAGATGGTTTTGTGTGTTTTCAGGCTCCGTTGCGAGGTTTATGAGTTAGTTTCTTTTTTTCGTTGGTTGTATGAGTTTGCTGTTTTGGGCTTAGATTTGAGGTCATCATTGTTCAGGTCAGCAACTCTGTGTCTTTTGGCCAGGCAGATTTAGGCATTGTTTTGGTTTTATATGATAGATTTGCAAGGCATTTTGTTGTTCCAATTGCTATTGCTTCATGGTATGTGACTAGATTTATGGTTTGTAACTTGTGAGGTTTATTCTATACCATTGATGTCAACCCTTATTGTGATCCGGCGCGTAAATTAGTGGACAACAAGTATTGAACCATCGGTTTTCCATTCGTGCCAGCGAATGGAGAAGTGAACACAAGACCATTTGAGTTTTTGACAGAGAGGGTGATGGATTTGGATGGTTTTTTTCACATACATAGATGGCCACAAGGCTGTGAAGTTTCCTGTCAATTTGAGGATTGGAAGAGTAGGGAATTAATTAATGTTGGCATTATTTTTGAAAAGCCTCGAAGATTGAAAAGTATTGTAGCTTGGAAATAATTTGTGGGCATCCATGGACATGGTTGGAGAATAATGTGATGTGCTCTTCCTAAACAAGACAATCACTTGATTTCGGTCTTGAAATTTGATTAACTCTAGTCTGAGATTACATTTTATTTTGGCTCAATGGCATCTCAATTAATGAACTGATAAATGAAAGAAATAGCTATATCTCAAAAGAGAAAAGAAAACCAATAAAGTATAAAAACATGAACAAAATAAATAAATAAAAACCAATAAAGTAGTGACTACTGAGTTGATTGAAATTATTAGATTCCTTACTCAATGTATTTGAAGTAGAAAAGCCTCGGCAAAAGCAGAGCATGTGCTAATAATAGCCTCAGCAAAATATTACATAAAACTAATTTCTTTTACATTGCAATCATCTTCATCATCTTCTTCTTCTTGTTATATTGAGATATGAGCCCCGGACTGCATTCATTTTGTTGACGACAACATCCATAAGCATCCGCTCTGTCGGTGATACTGCAGAGCATGAGATCCCTATTTGCATCACTGAAGCCACGCATTCCTCCAATCTTTTTACTTTGTCTGGGCCGGGATCCTTATATCTCGCTATGGGTCTTTCTTGTATGTCATTTTCATATTTGTCGTCGTGTTCATCATCATCCTCCTCGTCATCAGTTTCAAGCAGCAATGAAGGCTCAACTATGTCCATGGCATGGTCAGGCAAAGCCATGGCTGTGAATTGGTGAATGCTTAAACCATCTTTGAACATGTCATCGGTTGGTCTTTTTCCTGTGCACATTTCTAGCAACAGTATCCCATAGCTGTAAATATCTCCCATTATGGAAACGGGGCTTCCCATGCCATACTCTGCATGTCAATGCATACATTAGGATGTCGTAGTTGATGGACCTTTAGAATTTATCTCATATATTTCAAAATTTTCTGATACTTCTTGTCCAGTGAAAAAAGAGTCAGCAATCTTTTTTATTATTGAAAAATAATGTCCATTTGTGTTCTACATAGTTCTAGAAGAATCATGAATACAAGGATGATTCTAGAGTTGTGGAGAACATACTATGTTGGCTAGACAAAGAGAGTTAAAGTTGGAAGAACTCTCTAGAGCAAGAACACTCATGTTGATAGACTATGACGGTGAAGCATGATAGCTAAACAATAGCCACAAAAATAATATTGTACAATATAGAATATTCTAGATAAAACCACACACTTGTGGCTGGAGTAAAGTAACCACATAGGTGGAGAATGGCTATGTCGGCTACTCTCATCTATAAAAAGGACTTGTAGCTTCCCAAGCAAAGTGGAGTCATCCACCAACTTCCAATTTATGTGGGAGTAAACAAGCCAACTCCCAAACTAATGGAGCCAAGAGCTACCCAAACAAAGCTATGTTGAGGAGCCAATAAGCTCACCAATCTAAGTGAAGGGCCAAATAGCCTAAACTAATCTAAATAAAGTGCGATGGCCAATAAGCCAATAAGCTAAGAAGGAGGCCAATTAGCCTATACCAAGCTATGTACTATTGTCCTAAACCCCTTCACCCTTAAAACAACAGTGGTATCACCCCATCACTCACAATCACCACGTAAACCAACAGCGGTATCAGAGAAAAGTTATTAGGAAGTGAGGATTTTAAAATTTATACCTGGAGGAATGTAGCCTATGGAACCCTTTAGCCCAACTGACATGGTTTGAATTTTGGTGCGATCATTTGATGCTTGTAAGCGGAACTTTGCTAAACCAAAGTCACCAACATGGGCTACCATATCTTCGTCAAGAAGAACATTGCTTGGCTTTAGATCACAATGAACAATGGCCGTGTCACAGTGGTGGTGCAGATAATTTAGAGCAGAAGCAACGTCAATTGCGATATTGAGTCTTTGGATGAGGCTTAATCTCTTAGGCTGAGATTGCTCATCATCTCTTGGATGAAGCCACTGGTCTAGACTTCCATTTTCCATGAACTCCAAAACTAGACTTTTGAAGTCATTGCCCTGATTATCAATACCGGAGCAGACAGTTACGATCTTGAGAAGATTACGATGCCTTATACTTCTTAACACTTTGCATTCACCAATGAAACTCTTGGAAGCTCCTTCTTGTTGAAGGTTTAATACCTTAACAGCAACTACCATTCCATCATTAGGGAGTACTCCTTTGTAAACAGAACCGAAACTTCCCGAGCCAATCAGATTGTCCACAGAGAACCCATCAGTTGCTTGAAAGAGTTGAGAGTAAGAAACACCTGATTTCCAATCCGTATAAGAATGCGAAGTGACTAGTCTATCTCTTGACTTTTTCACATATGAACAAGCAGCAAAGGAGCATGACAGAGCAATTAAAAATGCTAGTGCACAAGTTATAGGGATGAATACTTTTGGGGCAAGTAATCCTCGAGGTGAATGGCGCTTTTTGCTAGAGCATGCAGGAAGAAGGAATTCTGGAATTCCACCACATAGCCTATTATTTCCAAGGATTGAGACACCACTTGCATTTGAAAAGATCCCTTCTCTAGGCAATTCACCCTCAAAATTGTTATGAGAAATATTGAGATGCTTAAGAGATCCAAGATTTCCTAGGAACTCAGGAATTTTCCCTGATAAGTTATTACGCGAAATGTCTATTTCTTCCAAGCCTCTTAAATTTTTTAGTGTTTGGGGAATTGATCCTTCAAGTTTATTACCTTGCAAATGAAGACGCTCCAAACTAATACAACTGCCGAGGGTTCCTGGGATTTCACCTGATAACTTGTTTTCTGAAACATCTAACTCCCCAATATTTTTCAGATCACCCACTTCAGATGGTAGTGAACCAGTCAAAAAATTGTTAGACATGGATAAAGAAATTGAAAGGGATGAAAGCCCAATAACCTCTTTAGGAATGGTGCCATTTAGATTGTTACTTGAAAGGTCAAGTGTCTGTAGATCTTTGCAGTTCCCGAAACTTGGTGGTATACTTCCCCCAAACTTATTCTCTTGCATGAGGAGCCTTGTCAATGAAGTCAAGTTACCTAGGGAGGACGGAATTGACCCAGAAAATTGGTTAGCAAACAACTCAACACCCTGTAACTTCTGAAGTTTCCCGATTACATCAGGGACACTACCACCCAAATAGTTTTCGGCCACTCCCAGAAGGGTCAAGTTTATAAGATTTCCAATGCCGTTAGGGATGCTTCCATGTATCAAATTGGTCCCCAAAGTAAGCCTTTTTAGTTGGGTAGAAAGGTTGGCGATTGTTGCTGGCAATTCTCCTCCAAAATGATTATCATTAAGACCCAACACCTCAAGACTAGTACAATTAGCTAGGAAGCTGAGAAAATTCAGGTCACCAGTTTTCCCACTTCCTAGTCTATTTTGATCAAAGTTGAGTCTAACTAAGCTCTGCAAAGTTGCAAGATTTTCAGCGGGGAGTGGCCCAGTGAGTCCATTTTCAGGAAAATCAAGCACTTGAAGTCTCGAAGCATTGGACAATGACAGAGGAACAGTTCCAGTGAACTTATTGACCCCACCGGCAAATACTTCAAGATTAGGAAGAGTAATTCCCACATTAGGTGGTAGCTCTCCATGCAGCTGGTTTTTAGCAACAGTGAAGTAGAATATGGATGAAATATTATAGAGTGAAGTAGGGATCATACCAGACAGATTATTATCCCAGAGAATAAACATTCTCAAGTTTGTTAGACGCCCAAGCTCATTGGGTATGCTTCCTTGAAAATTGTTGACAGCAAGCACAAAAAGTTCCAAAGATGAAAAGTTTCCTATCCAATGTGGGATCGTTCCGGTGAGATTGTTAAGACCAAGACCTAGACTAACTAAATTCAACAATGAACTGAGTTGGTTAGGAATTGACCCAAAAAGCTTATTGGAACTAAGACTGAGTACGCTTAGTTGCATACAGTGAGATATATTAGATGGAATTTTCCCACCAAAGGAATTGAAAGACAGGTTGAGATGTTGAAGGCTCAGTAGGCGACCGATTTGTTGAGGAATTTCACCATGAAAGTTGTTGTTTTTCAGGTTGATTCCAGTAAGATAAGTAAGATTTCCCAAAGAAGGAGATAAGGAGCCTACCAATTTTTGAGCTTCCAGGTTCAAAACCATGACCCTTTTCGTGGCAGGGTTGCACGTAACGCCTACCCAACTGCAGAGATCAATGGAATCGTTCCATGAGCTCATGATATAGAGAGGATCTTGAGTTATTCTTTTCTTGAAGTCTAGCAATGCCAGGCGATCAGATTCATTTCCAGAAGTGGGTAGTGTTGCAGATTGCAGACATGTGGTCCACCATAAAAAAAGGAAAAATCTAAACAAAATCTGGCTAGAATGAGTTTGTGAGTGTTCCATCTTGTTCTGAATGCAAATTTTATGCATGGAGAAAATCAGAAACCAAGTCTCATATAGATGAAAGTATAAATTTCTATCTATCTATAGAGCCAAAGGGTTTGTTGCAGGATCACAGAAATAGTAAACTATTAATTATGGATGGTCCCAGAAATAATAAATTTATTTTAGTGATATGGTTGAAGGCTGTCTCAATTACAAGAGGACTCTTTCTCTCCATTATTGGAATGGTAATGTACAGCTTGTTTGAATTTCATTATAGAGCTGAGATTTTTAGTTGGGGAGCCATTATTAGTCTCAGCAGGCCCAACCATTGTGGTCCAAAATATTAAATTCATCATCATGGAGATTAGTTTTCTAGTTGGAATGGTAATGTACAGCTGGTTTGAATTTCATTATGGAGCTGAGATTTTTAGTTGGGGAGCCATTATTAGTCTCAGCAGGCCCAACCATTGTGGTCCAAAATATTAAATTCATCATCATGGAGATTAGTTTTCTAGTTGTTAAACTAGATGTAGCTTGAATTATTGTTTTTTCTCTCATGTATTCTTGGTGGATTGCTTGTCCACGTTTCTGTACAGCTTTCCGCTGTGAAATAAAATTTCATCTTTTCGTTCGAAAAAGAAAATGAGCAAAAATGTTGATTGCAGGACCACAAACACTTGAGAAATATGAATGAGAGAAATCTATCATGGTGATTTGGTTCAATGAAGTCTTCAGTTTTAATTTGATTATGTAGATGATATTTTACGTGGTGGGGAAGCAACCACTGCTATCCAATTTTAATTTCATTATGGAGAAAAGATTGTCTGGAATTGGAAAGCACAAAGGCTTGTTACTCAAATCAAATGTCTCTTGCATTGCAGGTCCCTATTGGAATATAGAGGAATGCTAAACCATGGCTGTGAATTGGTGATTGCTTAGACCATCTTTGAGCTTTTCATCGGTTCGGTTGGTCTTTTTCCTCTGAATATTTCTAGCTAACAGTATCCCATAGCTATAAACATCTCCCCGTATGGAAACTTGGTCTCTCATGCCATACTTTCAAGGGCGGCCCTGGGGACAAGAAAGCAAGGCGACCCCTAGGACCTCCAAATTGGGAGGGCTTCAATTTATATAATTCATTTATATACATACTATACTATGATATAAAAAAGAATTTGTCAATGAGGGTTAGTTCAGTTGGTAAGGTCCATGTACTGTGTAGCCCCGTCTCGGGATTGAGTCTTCCCTGGCGTTGGTGGTGAGAGTAGCCAATCTCCTCTTAAACTTTTACAAACCAAAATAATAATAAAAGAATTTATATCTAAATTTATGTTACAATTATTAAATCCAAAATTAAGAAGAGCCCAACTCAAAAATTCCCACTAAAAAAAGAAAAAAAACTAAAAGGACAGCATTGACATTGTATCCCATCTAGTGAACAAAATTTGACATTTGAAATTGACATTCGAAAAAGGACATCATTGACATGTACTGTGTAGCCCCATCTAGTAAAAGGATAGCATTGATATTGTATACCATCTAGTAAACAAAGAGAACTTTCTTAGAGCATTTCCAACGTTGCGCCCCAGTCCGGGCAAGAGGGGGCCTAGGCCCACGAAGGCACTTCTAGCGCATAAATGCAGCCTGAGCAAGACGTGGGGGCCACCAACCTAAGCAAAGCCCAAGACAAAATCAGCCCATTCTCCTACTTAAGGGCTGTGACGTTAGTGCACGAATTCGAATTTTTTTTTACCGTTGGCGCATGAAGTACACGCGGAGATTGCGCGAGTCACACACGCCAACAGTGAAAAAAAATTCGAAATTTCATCGTGCTTTCCCCCAATAGATAGAAGCCACGTGGAGCTTCCTGGGATGTCCGATCCATTCTTTCTGCTCCAATCCAATGGATGCCAATTTTTGGAGCAAATTGCTATCAACAACACACTAAGAATTGAGAGAGACATGAAAAGAGATAAGGCTAACAAGACAAGAGATGAAACATTTGCAAGAGAAATAGAGTATGCACACAAACAATACATGGACAAGAAAGATCGGGAAACCATAGTCATTGATACAAGCCATATGTCCCCTGAAACAAAGTCATTTTGGAAGCAAGAACGAAGGGATGTTATGAGAAGAAGGCTTTTCCGTGACAATGGACCTAACAACACGAATTAGTTAAATGATGAAAACCATTAGGTTGTATTGATAGAGTTGTCATTTCTTAATTAGTTGTATTGCTTGTATTTTATTGAATTAGTAGTATTTCTTAATTAGTTTTATTTCTTGTCTTTTATATCAAGAAAACATTCAATAATATAGTGTGATGCAACGGCTTCTAGAATGATACTTTTTTGGCCCTTCCTATTCCCATAATCTCCTTGCTAGGAAGTTGGGCAATTCTTCCACTGCTAGTGCATGCAGTCGATACTTCCAATCATGCCTGGAAAACCTCGAGCCTTGACTTTTTGTAAAAGCCTTTAGAGGTCCCTAGGCGTATGTTTGCAGAGATAATCCCTCGTGTAGATAGTTTCGATTGCATCACAGAATCTGACCAAGCTCTCTAGGATAATGGATAACCCACCCTAGCAATCTCATCCACCTAGTCTGCAGATGCACCAAATGCCAGCATCAGTAAAGAAGCTGTAAGTTTTTGCTCCGGGAGAAGACCCAAAACCCCAGTACATCATACTTCTAAAAGAAGTGTGCATCGTAATTGCAAACATCATGTATGATTTTATTGAACAAATGAAGTTGCATTCTATATTGCCCTAGAAAACTACAAGAAAAAAGGTCTTTCACGACGAAATCTTTTGCGACCAATCCAAATTTGGTCGCCAAACAGGGTTATGGGAGACGAAGTTTTTTAATTCGTCGCCAATAATTTCGTCAGATTTATGAACTAATTGACCATAAAATATGTCCGAATGGCGACCAAAATATTTGGTCGCTAGGGGAGGAATTGGCGACCAATATTAAGATTGGTCGCCTTTAAGCTTGAAAATTATTGGCAACCACAGTATTTCGTCTTTAAGATTGCTTGCGTCGTCTCTAAATTTGAGATGCCGCGAAAATATTTTGTGAGATGCCGCCCAAATATTTTGTGAAACTTGGCGACCAATTGTTTTGGTCGCGGTTCCTGTAAAAAAGAATATAAAGTATTAAAACTGTGTCGTTTTCCTTATTTGGGGGCTGCCGACCAAATAGCTTGGTGGCTGATTCTAGGAGACTATAAATTAAAAACATTTCCCTAACCGGTTACTTCCCCCAATTTACTTCTCTCGTATCCACTCTCTCCATCTTCCACACCATCGATGCCTTCAACTCCGTCCTCCACGGACGCTCGCAATGAAATCTTCCAACGATGCTGGCCAATCACTTATATACCCACTATCTCTTCGTCCCTCTTCAGATTTCTCATGGCCTTTATTTCTCACTCTCTTTCCCAAAATCATCCTTCATTAATGCCAACCACTTGCTGCTACGGCAACATATACTAGAGATTCTCTGCAATGTGCTCAGCCACATACCAACTCTGATTCAAAGGTGCTTTTATTATGTCATTGGTATAATATTATAATTAGGATGAGGGAGAGGTACCTCAAATTTAGAAATGCCCCTGATCCCAATGGAATCTAAAAGTGGAATCTAAAAGTCTTTCTTTTCTTGTGTATATATGTCATTGGTACTTGATGAAAGCTAGGAAACCTATATACTCTGGTCTTGACTATCTCCTTTTTCAAAATCTTGTCTTTCCCAAATTTTGTTCCATGATTTCTTGAAAAACATGCATATATATATCTATATCTGAATACCACATATATATTATTCT